CAAGCAATTGGGAAAAGGAGCAAGAATGGGGGAAACAAGCACACTATCATTAACCAATTTTTCTTTCTCACCTACCTCATCACTCACTTTACCCCCTCATTGTCACCTTTCGTGTCTTTTTCTATTGGCAATGTGACCTTGGGTGAGACCTTCAGCACAACGGTCTTATCAATTTGTTTGCCACTTTAAAGGGTGGTGACCGCTTTGAGTTGCTCATAACTCTCATTAGAGGGTTTGGATGACTCAATGACATGTTGACCTCTAGGGTTTTCTTGGGTTAAGCGGGGAACTTCCCCTTCTCTTGTTGTGATACCCCATGGAATTATTCAACTTTGTGAGTTGGGCCTGAATGTCATTAAAAGCTGCGACATTTTGATTGTTGATGGTAGTCTAGCTTTGAATGAAAGCACGAACCATATCCTCCAAGTTGCTCTTATGGGGAGGTTGATAGATGGGAGGATTGGATGGTCCTTGGGAAAAACTTTATGGAGGTGGACTTGGTGAAAAATTCTATGGTGGTGGGTTTGATGAATACCCTTGCAGATTGGTCCGAGGGTATTGAGAGCTAGAAGCTTGACATTGGGATTGAAATTAATTTTTCCTAGGGGCCACGGGAGGTGTGTATGCATTTGAACATGAGGAATAGGGTTATCATTTCTCCAACTAAAGTTTCAGGTGATTTCTCCAACCCGAATTATATATGTTTGAGTGAGGGGAGAATGATTGCCTTGTTTGATTGAATGCATGGACTTGCTCAAGATACACTTCCTTAAGTGCCAGAATATTGGGGCACTCCGATATGGAATGCTCCACACTCTCACAAATTGAGCAAAACTCATCGATCTTTGAAACATTGGACACCTCGTGCCTCCTATTGACTTCAAGACTCTTAACCTTCCTTGACAATTTAGCAATTTTGGAAAGTAAGTCTTCCTGGTCTCTCAAGTCAGAAATTCCTCCTCATGAGTTTGACTATTCTCTTAAGGAGAAGATCTTGGTACATCAGTGGAATCCATAATGTCTCATGATTGTACATTCTGTGCTAATGTATCAAAGTAATCTAAGGCCTCATCGGGGTCTTTGTTCAAAAACTCCCCATTACACATCATGTCGATGAATTGTTGATGGCCTGATGTGATTCCTTTATAGAAGACAATCACCAATTGTCATGGTTCAAAGCCATGGTGTAGAATGGATTGTAGCAATTCCTTGTACCGATCCCAACATTGATAGAATTGCTCATTGGACTTCTTCAAAAAAATTTGAATTTATTTTTTAAGAGTGGTGGTTTTATGCACCGAAAAAAAATTATTTAAAACTCGGAGAGCATTTGGTTACAAGATGTTATGGATCAAGGTCTCAAGGAATTAAGCCATGTTTTTGCCTTATCTCTCAGGGAAAAGGGGAACAATTTTATCCTAACTATGTCTTCCATACCATGATTGGTGAGAAAGGTCGCAACTATTTCCTCGAAATCCTTTATATGCAAATAAGGGTTCTCCTTCTCAATTCCATGGAATGTAGGAAGTAGTTGCAATATCCCTGACTTAACAAGGAAGAGGTGAGCTTGGACCGGCAGGAGGATGCATGAGGGTGTGATGCTTTGTGTGGGTTGAAGGAAATCCCTCATTGACATCGTCGTAGGCTCAATGTGAATGTTGTTCCCTTCATTCACAGGAGGAAAAAATTGTATTCGTGGATTGGGCATTCTAGGTTCTTGTCCTCTCCCACCCCTTTGCATGTTTGGATTGCACCTACATTCTCAAAATTATCATCCACATCCTTGGGTGGGTCTTGGTCAATGTTCATATTGGGGGCCAAGGGTTTTCTAACTATTCGGTTTTGTTCGTCCTGTCCCCACATATAACAAAACTATCTACAAATAAAAAGTGTAAATAAACAAAAGTATAGACAGGGATCAACGTACCTCAGCCCATGATGAACATCACGGGACTTACCTCCGTTGTCTGTAAATCACCTTCTCAATTCAATATTTTGCCTTCCCTAACAACGGTGCCAAAAATGCTTGATAGTTTCTATTGTACTCCCTAATCTCCTAACATCATTCCTCAATGTGTGTATGGCTTATAGGGATAGAGGAGTGTCACTCTCCCTCGGAATGATGCAAGAAATGGAAAAACAGAATAATGGTGGAATGAAATGCGTATGTGTGTGTGTGTGTGCAAAATTGCTCCCCAAGCGTAGAGAGAATCTTATAATGTCGTGTTTTACTTGGAAAAGTATTTCAAAGTCATCTCCTCAGGGAAGGAAGAAAATTATGTTGAAGGTGATTTTTGTGAAAAATGAAAAGTGTAAAATCTGTTGTTTTAAGTTTTGATGATTTGTGTTCTTGGTGAAAATAAAATAAAACAAGTGTTGACTAATCCAAAAGATTCATTCCAATGGGGATACCAAATCAACTCAAGACCTTCCTCCAATAGAGCCTAGATGTTCGATTGATTCGTGGGAAGCGAGGGATGAAATGGAAGTGAGGATCCAAGCATAACCCGTCATAAGTCTACAGGATATCAAAGACTTACAACCACGTCCACACTCAACCTAGTCAAACCGAACCATCGTATACTGAGAGGAGGAAAGAAAATGAGTTGAAATGGTATACCCAAGAGGAGGTCTCCCTTAGATTACCCAACTTAAAATCGAACTACTCATAATAAAAGTAAGAACATAAACACAATGAAGAGACATTGTAAGAAAAGTAAGAACATAAACACAATGAAGAGGCATTGTAAGAAATGAAGCGTGGAACTTAAACTAATGTAAGAAAACACAAAACTAAAGAAAAGTGTATTTAATACCCATTTGAAAACTTGAAATGAAGAAAACTTAACACAACAATGGTAGAAACTAAGATACTCAACTAAACTTGCAAAACACTTGAAATAAATGACATTAAAAGTAAATAATGAAGCTTACAAGATCCTTACAAAAGATTACAAGTGAAATGTATTGAAGAAAATGCAAAAATATTAACTTCTCTCTCTAACACTATTCATCTTCTTCCTTGGAGCTTTCAAAGCTTAAATAACCTCCAAAATTGCAAAGCTTGAGATGCAGATTCTGAGCTGTTTTAGCAAAACCTACCGGTAGGTTTCACTCCATTAAGCAAAACCTATCAATAGCTTTACGGTAGGTGCAGGTCTAGTAGCTAAAATCTACTGGTAGGTTTTTCCTTGTTTTGCAAAAATTTTGGATTCTCCACCTTTCAAGCAAACATCAATCCTCTACCTCATCTCTAATCAACTCAAGCATCATGAAAAGGCCTAAAAGGCACCATTTGAACCCATTTTCCTGTAAACATATCAAAACTCCATTAAATGCTTGAACAATGTTATTTCGCTCATTTTAACCACAAAAGCATGTGTAAAAGGGATGTAAAAGCACACAAAATATGCAATGTTTTTTGTGCTAATTAGTGTTGTTCATGGCGCTGCTTAGCCTTGCGCCTTTCCTGGTGTCACCCAAGTTCATCTCCATGGCGCATCCCAAGCTTATCTCCATTTCTAGATGCATCATTAGCCAAAACATCTACATCTCCTAGTGCAAAAGTGTCTATGCCTTTCTTTATCCTCTCTCTGTCGCTTGTGGACAAAAGAAAGAGAATGACATTGTCCTTGCTCTAGTTAGAAAATAGGGGTTTGGAAAGAAAGTCCAACAATGTGCGCTACTAAATGAAGAAACAAGCTTTGAAAATGCAATGAAATGGAAAGCTGAAGAAGCCAACATATGGAACAAGACACTTTTGTTTACCAAAATGAAGTAATGCCTTCAACCCCTTATCACTACTAGGCCTTGTGGCATGGAGAGCAAATGATGAGCCCAAATTCAGATCAGGGCTGGACCTAGTTTATGGGTTGAGCCCAAATTATCAAAAAACAGGTTAGACTTAACTCATGACTTCAGTCCAATACAAAGTTTAAGAATCTAAAGAAAGTCAACATATGTGAGAGAACAATCATCGGGATAACTATTACACCAAGATAGTGCTTAGTCCTAATTGTAGTTATCATCTGCGATAAAATAGTAGCTTGAGTTTAATGTCACTGACATAACTAGGGCTCTGTACCTATAAATTGTAAGCCCCTACACATGAGGGTAAGAGATCTCACACATCTCACATTGAGCGTACTCTTGTTCTCTCTCTTACTACCTTGTACTCTCTCATTAATAGCGTGCTTCGGCCACCAGTACTACTTTCAGTGGTTAGGTCACCTAAACCCAACCACCCATTATTTATTTTTTATTATTAATTATTTTATACCACACACTCGACTGATTTGATTGTGCATAAATTCACTTTTATACATCATTATAGGTGGTTAGATTAGTAATATTTACTAACTCTATCAAATATTCAATGTATGAGATTTTGACACATTACTTAAATTACAAGATTTGGTAAATAAATTTGTACAGTGCAATTTTATCATTTTTAGACGTAGTGTTGCAAAATATTAAATTTTCTTGCATGCCATTTTATGAGCATTCAAAATAACATCGTTTTATGTTAAATATTATTAATTTTTTAAAAAATTTTCAATATATATGCAGGTCGAACAAGAATACAAAATTTATTTGAGTATTTTGCATTTCTACTTAATATTACAATTTTCTTTAATTTAACCGATCCAAAATTTATCGACTCTTTTACAATAATGTTAAATTGACCAAAATTTGAGACTAAATTTTGAGTTCAAATAATATGACAGTTGATTATTTGAAAATCAAATGACATAACACTAATAAAGAAAGTCAAAATCAATTGACATATTATTTGAACTCAAAATTTGATCCCAAATTTTGATCAATGTGACATTACTCTTTTAATAATCGGATAAGAAGGATGCGAAACAGCACTGCAGTGCACCTTTCTTCCTAGCGAAACCGACCCACGCGTCCCTTCGGTTTCCCGCCGAAAACATAAGCCTGACATACGGCTTTCCCAAAACTTGACACTCCAGTACAGAGGAAAAGGTAAGAGAATGGCCACCTCCAAAAACCTAATGGATATTTCCCATCCGGCCAAACGATTGAAAAGAGTCTCTTCTACGCCGACGTCCTCATTAATTCGCAAGGTCATCACAACCACCACCAACATCATCTCATCATCCTTCGATAACGATCATGACACAACCGCCAAAAAGGACTCTTCTTCTTCCAGCTGCCTCACCCCTGAGCAAAAATGCAGAGTCGAATTCAACAAATCCCTTGCAAAATCGAGACGAAACCTCAAAATCTGCTCAGAGAAATTCTCCACATCCACTGCAGGTTGATGGGTTTTCTGTCTTTCCTTAAATAATGAGTTTCTACCTTTCACAATAGGGTCATTACCCCGTTTTTCTCTGTTGATCGAGATTATCGGAGAGATATACTGGGTACAGAGGTAACCTTTATATTGTTTGCATGAAGTAAATGTCTCAAGAATAGGCAATCACTTTGAGCAATTGAGTTCTAATCTAGCTAGTGACTACGTCCAATTGGAGGCACCAATCAGGGTAATGACCCCAATTTGTATACATATATTATGGGTTTGCATGCATTTATTTATTTGTGCGTGTGCGCTTGTTAGGTGAGAGGGTGCGGTATGTGAGGTTGATAGACCTTTTGGTGGAGGAGACGTGGTTGGAAGCGCTTCCGGGGGAGCTAGAGAAGCCGTATGCTAAGAAATTGTGTTACTTTGTGAGAAGTGAAATATGCAATGGCGGCGTCCCCATTTATCCCCCACAGCATTTGATTTTCAACGCACTTAACACTACCCCATTTGACAGAGTCAAAGCTGTCATCATTGGGCAGGTACTCTTACCCATTTAGGATGCTTGCATATTTTATCTAGAGTTGCCCTTGCCCTGTATTTGTTGGTTCTGACTAAGAAAGAAATAAATCACGAACCATGTCTCTATTATCTTTCTTTATTTTTTATCGCTGTTTATTTATTAATTTTTTTGGGTAAATTGTTTTTTATAAGGAACCAGTATATGTTTAGAAAAGAAAAGAAAAGAGTGGCTTTGTATTTGATCACATTGATTTTTTGTTCTTTTGGTGAGTGAGTAGGTATGATTAATTTATTCTGGTTGGTCCTCAATATAATTTGATTTATTGGATGCATCTTACCCTGTTGTTCTGTTCGGACTGTAAGATCCTGACTAAAGGGTTATTGCAATCAAATCTTTTGGAATAGGAGGTACGGAACCATAAGTTTGCTTAAAGAGTCTCTTTACATAACATTTTGTCTGTTTAGTTCAGCATCTTCTGTTTAAACTACTCTCCCATTTGTTCTGGTCCTGTAATTCTGAGGGACATTGATGTTTATATTTTAATGGGCAAACTTCACTTTACCGGTATATTCCAAATGCACTTTACCTCCCTAACATTTAAAAATCTCTACATAACCCTCACGCGGTTTGTGGACTAAAATGTAATGGCCCACTTTCCATCCAACTTAACATAGGAGGTGTGTCCCATGCGCAGGATCTGAGAGTTGTTCTGTCTCAATTTTTTTTTTGTTTTGAATTTTTTAAGCAAAGTTAACCTCGTTAAGTTTGAAATTTGTCCAAACACCATTGTCTTTTTCTTTGAACCAACTCTGATCATCTCTCCAATCTCCTTTTCGGTCTCCCAACTTCGATCGTCTCTCTCTCACTCTCTCTAACGCACACACACAGAGAGAACACAAGCACATAGCATACATGCACCCACCACCCACACATATAGAGAACACACACCCACCCACCCACACACAACACAAGCACAGAGAACACATGCACCCACCCACACACACAGAGAACACACGCACCCACCTACACATACAGACACACACATACCATCTTTTGCACAGTTACACTCACAAAACCCACTTCTTCTACACCCCACCTTGTTGCACACACAGTCTGCACACACACTGTTCCTATCACAAACACTGTTCCTATCACAAATACACACATGTCGTTTTCAATTTTGTTTTGGTTTTGGTTTCCATTTCGATTTCGATTCATTTTTTGGTTCGTTGGTGTGTGTTTGAAACAGAGATCAGGATGAGAGAGAGAGAGCGCGAGAGAGAGAGTGTCTGTCGGAGAAGAAGGGGATTTTGGCAGCCTAAAAGGTCTTCAAAGAAGAGAAGAAAGAAGAAGACAAGTAGGGCTATTAAAGTCATTTTAATCTTTCCGTTAATGGTGTTAGGATTGTATTTTAGTCCACAAAGGGTTATGTGGAAGTTTTTAAATTTCAGGAAGGTAAAGTGCATTTGGGATGGTAAAGTGAAGTGTGCTCTATTTTTATTGATTGGTTTAACTTTACCCCAATTTTATGGGGTAATCATCACAATAATTTCTTGTGATCGTGCAGCGAAGAACTTTCTATTTCTTTTTTGCCAATAATTATACTTACCCTGAATTTGAGAGAAGATTCTCTGAAAACAAATTTTATTTCCTCTATAACTCCTCTGAAATGGGACTATAAATGTACAAAAAAGTCCTAAACCTTCTAGGACTTCAATTCTAGATAAAATACCAATGACTAAAAAGCAGAATTGAGTTCATTAAGGAGAATAGTAATTCTATTTATCTTATCTAGGAATCCTAATCAAAACAAAAGAGAAAAAAAGAACTGTCCACAACTGCTATTTTACTTTCTTTGACAACCGATTATCCCACTCCACCATGAAGTCTTCAACAACTTGTTCTACATCAAAATGTTGTCGTTATTAGATATTCTTCATAATCTAATGTAGTGCATAGGCAGAGTGCAATGATGCCTGAGTTGGAGTAGTTTTAGCCAGTCTGCAATTGGTTTACGCTAGTTTCTGCAAGTTTCAAGAGTTATTAAGTTGGATTTGGTAACTTAGAAGAATTTTTTTTTGTTTCATTATAATTGGTGGCTAAGATTGGGAATTTTTTGTAGTATTTAGGTGGGTGATTTGAGAAGTTTGGTAATAAGTTTAACTTAGGCTTTGTAAAGATGACAATATTAGGGTTGTTCTTAGTGTTTTGGTTATGTAATAATTTTAACTTAGGCTTTGTAAAGATGACGAGATTAGGGTTGTTCTTAGTGTTTTGGTAATTTTTGGGGCCAAAGGGCAAGCGGCGAGGCAATGCACATGCTTCATCAATTCAAGGTGAATTAATTATACCACAAATACAATTAAATGCCATAAGTTCTAATTACAGGCAAGTGAAGCAGAAACAATTCATTATAGCTAATTTTAGTAACGTAGAACAAACTAGGAGGACCTCGTGCGATGCACAGTCAAATGTGAATCCCACATATATCATATTTACACTCATAGTTGAAGTAGAATAAGCCAAACCCAAAAATAATACATAATATCAGCCAAACCAGTCTCACTAAATCATCATTTAAAAAACTCATGAAAAAAAGGTTTGCTAGTCTCATAGCAACCATTGGATAATGCATTTGGTGATCAAAAACAATTATCAATCCCCATTATTGTTGTCATCTATAGAAGAAGAATGGTATAATTTTAATTCAGGCATGAGCTATTAATACGTATTTCCTCTTAGAGAGGGAGCGGAGCTAGGATTTTATCTTGAGAAGGGTCAAATATTGATGTAACAAATTTTTTTTAGTCAATAGGTCATTTAATGAGCTATCATTATTATCAAATTTTAGTCGTATAGGACTTATTAAAACAAATTTTGACATGGTAAATTATATAATTCAAAATTTTGAAATTTAATTAGATGTTAAATAATTTTAGATAAGCTCACATGAAGAATGAAAATCTAAAAAGATATAGGATTTTTTTACATTATACTTGGTTTGTTGAAATTATGACCTTGATTTTACTGTACCTACTTGATTAATAATTTGAACATATTGCACCATTAATCATTAAAATTTGATTTTACATAATTGTTGAACTTTGACGAAACAATTGTTGAATTTTTGATGAAAATAATCCCTAGGGCTCTTTATAATGATTAGTGGTGCAATTTATTTATGTATATAATCAAGAGGTAAAGTATAAATAAGATCATAATTTAAGGATATAAACTACAATTTTGAAAACTTGAGATTCCATGTAAAATGATAGCACCAACATAATTTTAGGATTAAAGTATAATTTCAAAAAGTTAAAGAGGACCAATTTGGAAGGTATCTAGTAAAAATGTAAGAATTTGATTGGGCACCATGGCCGAAGAGTGGGTCCGCCATTGCTTGAGATATGCACATTTCTTAGTTATTATTTTTTCTTTGCTTGGATAAACTAACCGAGAATTTTCTCAAGAATGAAAATGGCAACGTGATCTAGGAAGACAAACCAGAGCTATGACCAACTATAAAAAAATTGATATGAATCAGTCATGCACAAAAAAAAAGAAGATGAAAATCTCCTATTTTCTAACCTTCCATGTTATGGAAATTGTCTGTGAATGTTGAAGTTATAGGTTGTAGAGAAAGAAGAATAGAGATGAGAAAGAAAAATAGAGGCTAAGAGCTTATAGCACACTTCCCTTTTGCGTAATTTTTTATGAATGGGAAGTGAGTATAAGATGAATATATGCCTTTAGTTACAATAATACTACTGTTATATATTTCGACACTCCCGCTCAAGATGGTATATCATATAATCCACATATCAACAAGTTGATTGTCATATCTAACAAGTAGTGTAATAATGTCTACACACAATATTTTCTCAAATAAATTGTCAATCAACCTCAATATCTTTCATTTACCAAAAAAAATAAAAATAAAAAACCTCGGTACCTTTCCTTCGTTCATGAAACGTTGGATTAGATATTATATGAACAACGACTTGATTATCACAAAACAACTGAAGTGTAGTTTGAGTTTGGAAACCAATTTTTTTAAGGAAGTGTCTAACTATGTTATCTTACTATAGGTGTGAGTCATTGCCATATACCCAGCTTTTGCACTAAGTCGTGCTATCATTGCATGCTTCTTTCTCTTTCACATAATCAGATTGCTGTCCAAATGTAACCTACATCTCGCCCGGGGGGGGGGGGG